ATAGGAAACTTAAAGTCTAGCATTGAGCCCGATGCTTTTCTCCTTATAGGCGATTTAGTGAATCCTGGGGTGTTGGGGGCCGTCGCAGCTCCCGGTCTCTGACCAAAGCCATACTTTGAGGGAGGGAACGAATGGTTGTTAAACACCGGAGACGGTTCGGAACCAAAAGGTGACCGACGCGGCAGTGCTGCCGACTGAGGTCCATTTGTCGTTGTACCAAGGCGCGGCGTAATTTGGAGACTAGCGGATCGACTGTGGCCGCGAGCAGGGCGTTGGGACCTCGTTTGAGTGCCATTGCCGTATGCTTGGTCGTCGACAGTGGCATTGGAGCCCATGGACACGATGGAGAGGGATCGTTTATGGGCATGGCCGGGTTTTGGCGGAGGCGTGGGCGTGGGCAGCTGGGGAGGAGGCCATTGCTGGATGCTATTCCTAAGGCGCGAGCTTGGCGAGGGCACGCTGAGGGACAATGTCGAGCGGTGACTACGAGCGGAGGCAGGGGGTGTCAAGCCATTAGTAGAGCCCCCTCGAGGGCTGAGTAGCGGCGAAGGCTGTCTCGAGCGATCGGTCCTCGGGGATGCTTGCGGAGGCTGGCGTAGATTCGGGGTTGAAGCTGAAGAAGCAGTCGGGGCGACGTTCTTGAAGGTGATCTGACACCGAATCTCCTCGCCTGCAAACACGGTCTGGTCATCCCATTTTACGAAGACGCGGATATCGGTTGAGCGTCCTTCGGGCGGCATGGTGGCACTCCTTCAGACGAAGGAGAGGAATCGTGAGCGCAACCTCATCGTCGTCAATGCTCGAACCGAGAAGAGCGAGACGCGCGCTCGCAGCACGATGGGTGTAGTCGTGGTCGTGGTCGTGGTTGCGGCCGTGATGGTTTGGTCCGGGAGAGGCCCCAAAGTAATACTACTATGATATACAGTAGGGATCGCGCCTACGAGGCTGCGGTAGAGGTGGCGATCCTCGTTGTGGTCGTGATCGGGCTGGGAGGTCGGAGGGGGTCCAGACTCGAGCCGGGATAGCCGCCTCCTATTCCGTGCTAATGGTGACGTTATGACTTAATCGTGCGCCTGGTAGTCCAGACAGATGGTCGACAATTGGAAATTTTCAAATGATAGGCGAATGTATGTCAATTCATGAAGAAACAGATGCCGATTTATCCACAAGGCTCGGTTGAGGTAATGCTTAATGCAATCGATGTGGTGCTTATATTACCTAAGTATACGACGAGGAGACGTACTCGTGTTTCCAAGCGGCGAGCTTAGGCTTGGTGCTACCTCCCCTCCCTGGGGTACCTAGGTAGGTAGCGTATTAAGTCCGCGCTGGCTGCCACTACAGGTACCTAACCTACCTAGGTACCTGCCTTAGGTACATGTGGTGCAGAGGCAAGGATCTCCCGGATCTTATTATTTTAGTGTCTACACGTCCATATAGAGCGCCTTCTCCACATCAAAAGAAAAGTTGCTTATCTGACAAGTACTAGACTAGGCTACATATCTGTATGTATGTAACAGCCATCCGGTTCGGTATTTACACTTCCAACCAACAATAGCAAACCCATATAACAAAGATAGACTCCTCCCCAACGATGCCATGTACATGTTTGTACACACGGGGTCATATGTACCCCTCGGCTCCCTCGCTCACCATGCCGCCAATCTATTTCAACACATCCAAGGAAAATATATGAAGGAGTGTGGGCCAAATACTAATACACACCTGGTTGCCATATACCTCTGCCTCTTTCTTTCCGGACAGGGGGCTTCGCTACGGGCCATGTTATGTCGTTCCATGCTCCACGCCTGGCCAGACCATCATGCTCTCACCCTCTGACTTCCCATGCGAAGGTTGCCAGATAATCGTTTCCTCAACTTCCTTCCAGCGCGCCTCAGCCCTCGACAGGTCAACACTGTCTTCACAATGACAGCTCGGACCCAGTCCCGCTCCAGTCACGCCTTGTGTTCTTCGTGGTACGAATTCGAGACTCCTCCGCATCCGCTGCACGGGATTGCCCTTCCATACGTGCACTTGTTACAATTTCCACAGTGCCATTCTTGTCGTTCGCTACAACAGCTGCAGGCTCTGCAGTGCCACACCTGGTCGCCCTGCTGCCAGCTTCCGATCCGATCACTGCTGCTGTAACAGAACGAGAAGAACCAATCCCCGTGATCGTCGCCGAGTCCGAGTCCGAGGCGGAGAAGTTGACGTTGGAGCTCTTCCGTTCGTGCTTCTGGATCCGGTCCACTATAGGCCGTCTCCCACGTCGTCCGCCATGCATCGATTCCCTCGTCGTTGCCATCCGGTACGTAGTCTAGACCCGACAGAAGATGGTCAAACAGATAATCAAGCGTGATGGTCCCCTCTAGCTTGTGCTTCTGCAAATAGGTGATGAAACACTGGTTGAGCTTCGTCGGAGACCCGGAAACATCGGTGCCGAGGATGTTGTCGAGAGCGATGTTGTTGAAGTTATTCTGGCATGTCTCGTCGCAACCACAAGACGCAATGCAGCCATAACCCTGGTTGCTGCAGGCACATGTCTGGCAGAGGTGGGTAACGTGCTCCGAGTCCGAGCTTTCATGCATGTGTTCGCACTGACAGCCCGTAGAAGATGGCGCAGGGCCGTCCGTTGTCGTCTAACATCCACGTCAATTGAACTGTAGCTTGGCCATCTGCACGGGAGTTTCATGCCGACACGAAATACTTGGGAGTTTCTAGCTTACCTCAGTTGCTGACGCGTCGGGTCTGTACTCGGGAACTTGTGCGAACTCCTGGGTATCTTCAGACTCGTCTTCGAGATCCTCCGAAAAGTCTACTCTCACTTCGGGGGTGGTTTCGGAACCAAAAACACGTCCGTCAATGCTGCCGCCAATGCTACGCGCGTCAACCACTCCCAAACGCTCCTCGGTCGGCAGGGCCCATTCCTGTTCCCAACGCAGGAATTGTGGGGTTTCGTTGAACAACCAGGAGTCATACCACCGTCCAACAGCCGGCCTGTGACGGAATTCTTCGAAGAATTTCTGTCCTAGCTCCTCTGTAAGGCGCTCCAGCGTGGTTCGCATGGCGCGAACTATGCGCATCCGTTCTGCCTTGTCGTGAGGTGACATAGCACTCTTCTTGGTAGCATGGACTTGCCTCATGAATCCACTTGATAGATTGCCTTGCATGTCATCAACTAACGACTCGGAGATGAACTTGATCATCTGTTCATGTGCAGCTGGATCGTCGGCCGGAATCGCACTCCAGCTGACCGGGCGTGGTGCCGTCCCATTTGGATGTAGTTGTCTCATCGTGGTGACTCCAGACCCGTCCATTCTTGTTCTCGGTCAGTTGTGAATCTTGCGAGAGCAGTAGCCTCCAAGTCGATGGCGAACAATATCCGACGATTGCAAAGAAAGTAGAATTCCACGATATATCACGGCGGGCAAGGAAACAAGAGGGTAAACTACCCAATTCCCACTTTTTACATTAATACAACTTGTCTTGCCTGATTACGGATTTACTCTCAGCATATTCTATACATACGACATATTCGTTGTGATTTGTCAAAGTTGCTGCTATGATTAGTACTAGCCTCCCCCTGAGTCGATCCTTTGACAGGGTATGATTTCTAGAAACAGTCAGCAAGAGGCTACCAAGGCCCTAGTCAGAAGTCAAAACCCGCATCACGTCACTGACTCCCCTATATAGCTACTACACTCCGCCGTCCTCATAAATATAAATATCCAAGGTCAAGAGCTACCACGAATGAATACACGATACACCACACCATACAAGGGGACTGTTGGTATAGGTTTGTTATTGCGGTTCAAGTTTCGCTTAAAAGCCCTGACCAGGAGTTGCTTATTACTGGTAGGGAGTGTAAGCTACTGTACACTACTCCCCAGCGCGGCTGACAGCAAGAATTACTAGGTATTATGGTAGAACATGGGATGACCCTTTTTCAGCTACCTAATTTTTGCTTAAGCAGGGAAATACAGTATGTGTCAATTTTAGACGATAGTGTCACTGTCTGCTGTCGGCTCAGTAGCCGTGGCTATGCTGGCCTGGCATCATCTGTCCTCTGTCCCCTGTCCGCTGCCTTCGTGTAGTGTAAGTAAGTAGGTACAGTGGCGTTCGACTACAGCCACTAAGTACAGCTGGAGGCGATCGGGAACTCCCGTAAGATCCGACGGGCTCTACTCATAGCGGGTGCTTTTAATCTGTAACCCTTACCTGCCCCAACCTGGGCTTTGCACCTAGTAGCACCTATACGCAGTACACTACATTACAAGTGGGAACAAGATTAACCAATCCTACAACTGCGGGACAATACTACGGTATACATACTGTACAATATTAAAGTGCACACTGTTGTCTTCACGATGGCTATAGTGTAGATCTAAGTCTTTTCTAGCCTAGCATGACCCAAGAGCCCTCGTGGCTTTCCCATACGGACGGCTCTCATTTAAAAGTCTCCAGGCAAAAAACCAGCTTCAATCCTACTCGGATCAGGTGTAGTAAAATAGATAAGAAACTCCCAAGTCACAAGGCCCTCAATCGAGTCTACACTATTGCATGACACGTGCTTAGAGGTACCTTAGCACGTTAAGGTACGTAGCTATATGATGATGATGATTGTGTTCAATGTCATGGAGGGCTACTCTCTGAGTAACTCCTAAACCTCCCGCGGGGTATAAGACGTGGTGAGCTGTCTATTACATACATAACAGTTGCAGAAACCATATTCAAGCCTCAAGAGCGCGCCGTATCATGACTCCGTGCCCACTCCTTCTTTATAGAAGTACAGAAAGGCTTGCTACCGAGGTTCGGAAATTTCCCCAGCACAAATACAAGCCAAGTTTGCTTCTGTATAACTTAAGAGGTATAGTGTGCATCTTCATTCACTAGCTGGTCTATTGTTCTACAAGGCCCACTTGGACAAGCTCCCACACTACTATTTTCCTTTCTGTGCCATGACGGCCAATACGCTGCCAAAGCTTTCAACGATGAACCCCAGCGCCCGGTTAGCTCAATCGGTAGAGCGTGAGACTCTTAATCTCAAGGTTGCGGGTGAGTGCAAAGATTTAAGAAAAAATGTTTCTAGAACGAAATGATTTTAACCTCTTACCATAGGTTCGACCCCCGCATCGGGCTCAATTCCTGATGCCTCCTAGTTTGACTACGAGCAGCAACCCAGCTTTCTCTTTTTCTTTTTTAACAAGAAAGAATTGGGTTGCAAGAACAGTAAAATAAAATATGTTTCTCTTCCTCATTTCATTTTTTTAAGGTGTGTCCCTGTTTAGCTAGTCCAGTCCACACTAGTAGGTAGGCTATCTAGCGAGTACCGTACTTTTGTGCATAACGCATGGTCTTTGCATCGCTTTTGGCACGTGGGAAAAACTAAGCAATGTTTTAGCGTCGACGCTATTCCATCTTTTCTCCACAAAACTAATTCCGACATCTCATCTCGTCGAGTGTGTTCGCTCTCCGGAGAGAAGCCAGGACATTGCACTACGCTATTCGCCATAACTCGCGAGAGAATACACGCAAGACTCTATTCGCCTAGGACTACCACTATCTCTGGGAGCGTGTGGAACCCCCGAGGCGAGTGGAGACCGGTTGGCGAGCTTCCTATTTGGGGTATTTGCCCCCGTTGTGAACGGAAAGAGGAATAACTCGAGTGAAAGAGAGGCTTTCTTGTTGTTCTAGATTTTTTTTTCTGCCTGAACAAAATTAGTGCTTGATTGCCATCCAAGATGGTCTGTCTGTCTGTCCGTCTATCTGTCTGTAGTCAGGCCCAAAAGCCAACGCTCTCGTTACTGTGGTTTGGTGCGCAAGGAAACCTCCTAGTTCCTCCCGTGCAGAAGAAGCAGCTACGATGACAAATCCATCTCCTGGGAACCAGTCACTCCGGGCCAATACTCGGCATCATTGTTCCGAGTCGTCGTGAATACCGGCCATGCAGTTTCTTCGTTCGCCCGGTCCAGCTCCAGGCTGGAAAAATCATATTCGGGCATAAAGTCCGAGAAGCCTGTCAGTTGTTAGCAACACCCCCCGGCCTGAAAACTCCACAGGGAAGCCAAAGAGGCGTGTGATCTATCTGGAAAATAGGAGACGGCCGCGGCCGGGAACGGGGCTGGTAGGACGTCCTCGGGAGCATGGGGTTTGGATCTGGCCCCAGAGTCGCCTAAGACATAACGAAGGGCCGCCGCAGCTTTCCGAGCCTCTCTCGAGCTGGCGCATTGCCGGCTCCAGATGACCTGTGAAGTTTTCAACGACTGTCTGATCTTCTTCACGTCCTCTTGTTCGCCCTCGATGTCTCTCGAGTTGTCCAGTTGTTCTTTCTGTTTGTCGGTGTGGTTTTGGAGACAGAAGCATAGGATACTTGTGGCGAGAAGAAAGTCGTTAACGAAGGCGGAAGACACTCTCCACCGGCTTTGATACAGCAACCCATCTGCCTGAGTCTCTTCGTCAACCAGGCGCTTGCAGGTCGAGGATTTTCATCGCAGCGTTAAAGCATGCCGACCTTGAGCTCCCGTATTCCTCGTGGAGGCGGGACGGCTCGATGAATTTTCGGTGCAGGACGATCTTCAGCTGCTGTGCCATTACTACTAGCCAGATCCTCTGAATGATAGTCTGCGATGGGACATTGAGAGATGATGCGAGGCCGTCCCACTTCAAACTGGACGGGAGCGCGTTTCGGGCCTCGTTGATCTGCTGATCAAGCTCCAGGATCTCAGCGTACGAGTGTAGTCGAGGCTCAGTGGCCACGTCGGCAACTTTGACCCCCACCGAGAGCAGTCAGAGTTTGGCCAGGACATAGAGTGTAGGTGTCACCTCCGTCTCACCGTGAGGCGGGTAACTCGGCCGTGTGCTCGTCGAAGTCGGAATCGTACAGGTTCCGCGGCTCGGCGGTATTGGTCTGGCTTTCTTTGACCAGTCTAGGCAGCCCTAGCTGCGTCGAGATGCTAAAGTCTAACTGAACTATCATCGCCCACACACGTCTTCGCATCTCGCCGGCGAGGGGGGAGATATTCGGGAAATGCCTCGCATCTCGATGATAGCCCATGTGTATGGCAATCTGTACTATGTTGCCCACGAGGACCCAGATGCCAATCTCCATGTCTTTGACGTGGAAACATTCGACTAAGAAGTAGAGAATCAAAGTTTCCAAGACGTAAGGTCCACCCTTTGTGTAGTGCCCCAGAATGAGGCACTGTATCGCCTTTTCTCTATACCTGTCTACTGTTACTTGGCTCTCGGCGGCCTGCGATGACGCTCCTGATCCGAGCGCGGGGGAGGCCTTGGTGGGACCGAGGAAGGATTGCTGGAGCTGTGTTGATAGACATATCATACTAAATAGAAGACCGACCCACATGGATCGGTGCATCATCTGGTGCTTTCCAAAATTCTTCATACTATTATCTGGCGTCAGCGTTAGTTCAGAGAGTAGAACCAATTCCGGTACGGGACGAATCCAGCGGCTTCCACGGTTGGGTGGCCTACCTCTCGGAGGAAGTGACTACTGTGCACGACGCCTAGTCCCTGGTTAGTCAAAATGTATATGCTAGAGTTCCTCGGAGCAATGGAAAGGTTAGGTAGCATACCAGGGGCTATGTCGAGGACGTTAAAGTAACGAGAGACTAATCTGTCCACGACAGGCCGAGGTGGTAACGACTTGATAATTGAGGCAGGGGTCTCGTACATCAGGCGACAGTAGAATAGCTGGGGTTTAGGGAAGCTGGCCAGTGGCTGGAGTGGATCAGAGTCTCGAGGGGGGGTTCCTGCTCTTCCTCCTGTGCGAAGTGGCTCCGTAGATCGGTGATGCTGTCGAGGACGGCAGCCCAGTGTGAACTGCTGACATAGTTGACAACTGTCTGTTGAATCCGGATGCTACCATGGTCGGATGGTGTTAGTAAGACATCACGCGGAGTTTCGGATCCGGCTATAATGGCTCTCTCCGAATCCATCTCCGATGGTGATGGACCCAAGTGAGCGCGGTGATCACCCGAACTCGGGGCAGTCTGATGCAGGAGGCCTAAAACCAGGTTCTCCAGCTGATCAATGCGGTCCTGCATGTTGGCAGCCGTCCCGTGAAGCCTCCCCGGCCACGTTGCTTGCGCAGTAGTGGTGGTGGTAGTTGTCGTCGTCGTCGTCGCATAAACGCAAGCAGAGCCAACCCCCCTGCTCGAGCAGTTTGTGCATGGGTGTCGGCGGTCGCATCGTACCCTAGGGAATTGGATCAGAACCTAGCAGGTTGACGTCGGGCGATGGCTTCAGCAGGGAGCGATGGCGCCTGACATGAGTAATTACGTAAGGCAACGGCGTTACTCTTAGCCAGATAGGCGTATCCAGTTCTCGTGTACTCCGAGATGTTGTATGCGGCAAATACTTCGGTATAATAATTCATTATAAAAGTCCGTAGAGACTACGTGCAGTGAGATGAGGTGGTTATGAGTTCGGAGGAGCCACCGATATCCCCGTCCGAGAGGGCATCCTCCGTCGGAGCTTCACGGCTCAACATGCATGAAACCCGCTATTCATGACATAGAAGAATCCAACAACAGTCACAAGAAAGCTGTAGCGCAAATATAAGCCAGAGACAAGCCGACCTTTTTACATCTCTTGGTATTGTAGAATAAATGAACGTTGGTACGGACACGCTACTCGTCTCGGTCATGTATCTATAATATAAGAGCCACAGGACCAACCGAGTTTCGGAGGCTCCTTTATTTTCGCAGACAATGAGCACATGATTTATTTTCCTCGTAGCTTGAATCCAACAGATATTCCTTTACCAGGTCCACCGATTCCAATAGTTCAGGCGGTCAATAGATTTCGGTGACCAACCGGCACCGGGTGGTGCTTGAGGTGACCGATGCTCCGCTGAGGTAGCGACCGTTCATTTGCTTCGTCCCAATTTCTGTCTTCTGTTGTCAATGGGGTGGGCAAACTTCAGATATTAATTTTTAGACTCGTTCTCCAACTCAGTATATTTCTAAGCCGGCCACGTTAATACTCCAAGCTGCAGCTCGTTTCACACCCCAACGAGTGCTTCTTCCATACCTTCGTGTCAAGTCAATCTCCCAGATTTCCTTTAAACGGCTTGTATTAGGCTTCATTCTGAATGAAGTTTTTTCGAAATGTCATCTATGGCTTTAGGTGCGAAAAACGATGCTATTGACTGAGAGGGCCCTGGAGACCCGGCCAACCCCTGGAGCTGGAATAAGGGAGACAACATGACCCATGTCACAACCACGGTCGAACCGTATGATAAATCTAGCAAGAAATTTGGCTGCTAGGAATTCTCTTCGATGCTGGCAATGATTTTGCCCACTAGTAATTGTTAGCGCAGTAGGTAATTATGAAGGTTGCGATTTCTGCAAATTATTCCTACCCATGGATTTCGGGGTAGCTAGCACAATATGCCCTAGTAATACATATATATGTATAGAATTTCTAAGCTACATGTACAATTACATCTTTTGGAAGTAATTCCTTGAATGATAACGGCAATACAAAAGCATAGAAATATCCTAATTAATGGTGACTAAGGAATCTAGGCACATCGTATGACAGCTACCATGGGTTAAGCAACGTCGCTGCTAGACGATGGCTAGACCGTCTCAACTTTGGCGAAAATATCTAGGCATTTGTAGGCACAGAAGTGGCTCTCACGGCAGCCGAGAAGGCTTCTGAGCTGGGGTTAGCGGTAATTAGTCCTCCACACTCATCTCGGGGAATACCCTCGTTACCTAGACCTATGACAAGCTGCGTGTAGTGTAGTGTAGAGCCGAAGGCGCTTTTGCTAATAACACAGAATAGGTCTATGCATGTGCATTCTAACTATCTATATGTCTTAAACCTACATAGTATACCTTATTGAGGGACCCTCGCCGAAACAGTCCGCCAAAAGTCACAACGATCGCCACGAGCCCCTTCCCAAGAAAATGAATCGGCCAGGCTAAATTTATTCACAACGCCCGGCCCCGACCGAACATAATAGGCCAATGTATCACCGACCGTGACGAGGCTGATCGCTCCCCCGGTGCTGTTCAGATTCATGTGGACGGGGTTGCTGGGCGTGAACTGGGGCCAGTTGATGTCGGTACTGTTTCCGACAATGGGGACGGAGGCGTTGTTGTATTGCCCCA